TCATTGATAGTCGGACGCATCATTGACCCGCGCCCTTAAACAAAACATTCAGCGGATACTATATGGTGCGCTTCCCAGTGTGTCTTGCGCGCGCAAATAGTGATTTCAAAAATCAAAATATTGTATAATTGTCGTGATGGCGGGCAATGGAGAACCTTCTACTGCTCTTAAAACCAGCAAATTTACCGGATATCACGCTTTTTACAGAAACGTTGCTGTAAGTACATATTTCAATGTTATAATGGATTATTGTTATCATATATTTTTAGTTTTATTTCTACCAAATAGATTTATTTATTACGAGTCCATAGTAATGAATGAATAAGTGTAAATAATTTATACACCACGTGTATCAAACATTGACAAATGCTGCAGTATGAACATAAAGAATACTTCTCAGTAAAGCAGTTATTTAATACATTGTAATTTGTATATATATACGAACTGGGCAATTTTTACAATCACTTGATAAAAGTGGGAACTACAGTATTAATAGTCTATTATACACTTTTCAACTATTTTTTATACTAGGGTAATATCAAAGAGAGTTTGCCTGATGCTGATTTGGGTGTCATGAGCAAAACTGCTGCATTTATGTGGAAGAATTGTTCTCATTATGTGCGGAAAGTAAGGGTCTGGCATATAGGGAATATGTGGGCCATTAAGCCATTTGATCGAGTATGCTTTTGCGGATTGTCTCAAAAATGAAAATAACTCATGGATAGGCATGGTAACCATAAACCTCTGACTATGAACTCTGGGCTGGGTTATACATGATCTTTTGTGTTAGTAATAAACAAGTCAGTCATAAACAGAAAAATAAGCATGTATTAATAACATGCTTTGAGTAACATAGCAAGCTATAAAGACAATGAGGGGGAGGGAGGCTTATATTCAGGTGGGGGATTATATTTGGGATGAGGTTAACGTGAGTATCAGGCTCTATTTTACAAATAATTAGCCTGACACAAACCTTAATCCGATCGATTTCCACCCACAGCCAAGTTTATATTTAGTATCCAATCAAAATGTCACAGGAGAAATTTAAATTTCACACAATGACAACAACAATCTAATTATAGTTGTGATAACTATAAAATACTGCAGCAACAATAGTATAATCTTATTAGCGCCAACCAATCAAATGACAGATTAAAAAATCTTTTGTCTCATAGACCAATCAGATATACAACAGAAATATGGTTGTATGGCATGGATTTATGTCAAGGTTTGTATCAGGCCTATTTATTTATTATTAGGCCTGATCGCAGGTTAGAATGAGGTGAGAATTTATAGTACATGTGGTGGGGTTATACACAGGGGGCTTATATTCGGAGGTTTACGGTATTGCTTGGATTTGAGTTGTAAGGATTTTGATAAAATATTTGCATAAAAAATCAAATGCTCCATACATGCCTAATCTCCCTACACCTAGCCTGGAGCTTAATATTTATAGCTGTATCATATTTGCTTGTTTTGTTTTAACATTGTTGAAGCAGCAAGAGTGCAAATGGGGCTCTTAAGATCCATGTAAGGCATTCTCCTGTTTCAATTAGATATACCCGGTACAGCTTGTTGTAGCCAGTTTCCTGGCCAGTAAGATGTAAAACCTTCAACTCTGTTTCAGAGCTTTAGTATCCAGTCAGGATAGTATCATTCATAGTTTGGTATCCAAAACCAAATTTTTGGTATCCTGTGGATATCTAAATATCCTACCAATATATGAATGTTCCATAATGTCTTCTCACTCTTTTCAGGATTGGAAAACTGAAGGACAGAGGGTAAAGGAGGATGAAGATTGTGGGATTGCACAATATATATGCAAAAAATGTCACACAAGTCTTTCCCAAGAGCAAAGGATGCAAGTTACCATGAAAAGTACTGTGAAGAGAGCATGTGTAACATATGCAGCAAGAAATTCTTGAACCGACTGGCTTTAAAAAGACATATGGCTATTCATGAAGGAAAGTACAAATGCCAAACATGCCAAAAATCATTTTCTGGACAAAATTCACTGAAACGTCATGTCAAAGTACACACTGCATGGCACACAAAAAAAAGAATTTGCCTGTCGTTTGTGTGATGCAAAATTCACAACCAAATCAAACATTATAAGGCATGTTAAAAGCCACTTCTAATTTATTTAGTACAAACAACACTATAATATAATTGTGTCACTATCTCAAAGTTATTAAATTAATATACAGGGCCGTAGGAAGCTCTTTTCGATTGGGGGGGCTGAAAGCGAGGGCCGAAGGCCCGAGGAAATTTTTAAATTTAGAGTCTCTAAAATGCCATTTCCTGGACTTTGGGGGAAGATTTAACAGAATTCTGATAGTCAGAAAACAGCGTTTTAGTATGTCGAAATTTACAGGAAAGTATGGGCCAGACTGTAGTATTATAAATGCGCGGCGGGAATTTTCGTCGTAAATGGCAGTTGCGCGGAAATGAAGGCAGAACATTTGAGAAAATTTCGAAAATCTGGAGTCTCTAGATGGTTTGAAATGGCATTTTCAGAGTTTTCTTTCGCAAGACCCAACACGCAAAAGACAAAATAAATCATTAGTTCATCAAAAATGTGCAGATTTTGTGGGATTTTCTTGAAAATGCGCGACAGAAATTCAGCTAAAATTTCTACGCGAGGAACGATCTGGAGTATGAGTAATATCTTCATTCTTTGCAGTTTGTCACAGATTAAATGATAAAGTTTGCATGATTTTGAAAAAAGAATGATTATTAGCAAATTATTGGGGGGGTTGCAGCCCCCCAGCCCCCCCGGTTGCTACGGCCCTGATATAATTCATTAAAAATATTAACATGTTGCTAATTTAATTACTTTTCCAACTACAGTTTTTATTATCCTAATATACCAATCCGACATCTCTCCTCCACAGGGGCTTTTTGTGCTTTTCCACCACACTATGCAAGAAGTTTACACAGTGCTAACTGCTGGTTGAACAATGTCAAAAGTGAGCAGTTAGCACTATGTAAAGTCCATGTAAAGCACAGCAAGGAAAGGACAAGAAACCTCTGTGGAGGAGAGACTATCGGCATTCAAATATTTATTAACCCATTAAGCAGCATTGCATCCTCATGGGCACTTTGTTATTTTACTCTGTCTAATGCCAGGTTAAGAGGAGAGTATTGGTGCTTAATGGGTGAGACCATCTTGTATGACAATGTGTTTAAAATACATGTATATTTTATCTAAAAACCCTGAACAAAAGCACCAAAATGTAAGTACAGTAAAATATGGTAAATTTTCATATATTCTGGTTTTTGTAGCCATACTTCTGCCAGCTTTTTTTGCAACTGGCTCATTTCTTTGCACATTTTCTGCAAACCTATGTGCACGTTTAGAATTTCCAGCCACTTTTTGAAATGGATTGTTCTTTGCAGTTTGACCCTTGTTTTGCTTTCGCCTTGATCCATTTCTTACCTTTCGACGTTTTACAGCTTCTGGTTGAACAGCAATTGTTCCTCTTTTGCGTTTTTTAACAATCGATGTGTTAGTGAGACGGGTATTATAAAACCCTTCTGCAACCAAAACAATGAAAACTTGTTGTAAGCTTCGATTTAGGCATCTTTTTCACTCTATCCGCAAACTTAAGGACACCTCGAAGGAAATTTTGGTCTGTTGCATTAGATGCAAGTTTATCTTGCAAGGATAGCATAGCTTCGTTTAAGGCTGTGTAGCATTCCTCCACAGCAACACAATCTTGCATCATATTCCTTCCAAGTGGAACTATAAAAGGTAAACAAAAGCATTATATATGGTTGGTGCCTTGGACCCCCTAGAAATTGCTTGCACCTGTCTAATACTACACAGTTTTGCTCATAAAGGGAAAGCTCTGACATCTCAATGAGTTAATTAATTAACTAAACTATGTCATTAAACCATTAAGCTGTAGAGCTCCCCCAATGACGAGTAAAATCGTCTGGCATTAGACAAGTAAAAAAATAAGTAGGGCATGTTGGGTGCATTGTGGCTCAATGTGCAATATGCTATATCTTTGACAAGTCAAATCATCTGGCACTAGACAGAAAAATGAATTAGAAGACATATATACTCCTTTGTAACACAAACTAATTTAAATTCACCTATTGTCAGCTTAAGCAAAGGCTATGCTCAATACAGCAATACATTACAGACCTGGCGAGGTAAACGTTGCTTCTGGAACTTCACTACCAGTATGTGTCAGATCAAACTGGTCAGGACATGGCACATCAGTGGCTGGTAGTGATATAACTTGGTCATGTAATCCCTCATAGAAATGCAAAGGAAATGTACCTCGTATAGCAATCTCAGCCAAAGACCCTTTCGGTTCATCAGTTATCATGTTGCTGAATTAATATTTTAAATGTGAGTCTGTATTTACTGTAAATTCTCTATTAAGCCATCCCCCCCCCTCCCTCAATAGGGAAGCTGTTAAAATGGGTGAACAATAGAAATTCATGATGTTGTTAACAATAGAGAATCATGTAGTTTACTCATTTTAACACTGGACAATTTTATTTGTTTTAACTCTTTGATGGTTAATGGGTTAGCAAAACTAAAAAAAAGAATCTCTCTTGTTAACCCATTAATGAGCATGCACCATACTTTTGTAGTTTATAATTCTAATGCCAGTTGAAAATTTTTTTTCAACTTACCAGTTTGTGCACTCTTTTCATCAACGGAGTTATTACTACCATGATAAATGGCTGGTTGATTGTTTCGTCGAACTTTTGATACTCAATGGTATATTCCGCATCTTTCTCTTTCAAATCTTTGATCCTTTCTTCAAGAGCAGAAAACATATCTGACATACTACCAGTTCCGAATCGTTCTTCCTTAAAGTCAGAATAAATTCTGTTGAAATCCTCTCTTCCAGGTGCTTCAGACCGATCTGAAAGTCTCTTATGGTACTCAAGGTCATCTTGGCACTCGCTCCTCAGCTGACGTAAAAATTCTCGATGAGCTGCCCCAGGCAATAAACCACTAGCATACATCTGGGTGATGGTATTTGTGACATTCATTGGAATGTCTTTGAAACTCAAAGAATGCAGCGAATCAACTGAATGGTTATGATTCCACTCGACATCGATGCTTGAATTATAATCTTCATCCACTCTTTTACCAAGTCTTACCACTAGTGAAAATTGGCAGTTGGTGTTCTTAAACCGTTTGCTTGGTTGAGATGCTAAAGTCTGAGCAGGGCACATTGTGGCTTCGTATCTTGTGTAGTGATGACATCTGAAATATTTTATTAAAGTATACTGTATTCGCCATTCCCACTTGTTTTTCTCCCTTTCGTAACTCTTAAAGTTTCATTGTTTTTGATTCCATAATTCTGAATAAACATTGCAATATCTTCCTCATTGTGGAAATTCGTCTTGATAGTCGCTTTGAATCTTCCAGCATTTCCTTGTACGCTGGTTATCTTATACTGATTCTCTTCAATTGGGATTATAGTTTTAACTCTCGATAAGAATTCTTGGGTATTTTCGGGACCAGAAAAACAACTTTGTAAATTTGCTATAGCATCGCGAAGCAAATCGTACGGTGGCCCATATGTGCAAAACACCCCCCAAAAAATTATTGCACCCCAGGGATCACAAAGCACCCCAATATGCAAATCAAATTGCAACGGTTAATCTGAAACACCCCCAAAATATTCGAAACACCCCAAAAGATTCGAAACACCCCAAAAGATTCGAAACACCCCAAAAGATTCGAAACATCCAAAATATTCGAAACACCGCCAAAAGATTCGAAACACCCCAAAAGATTCGAAACACCCCAAAAGATTCGAAACACTCCAAAAGATTCGAAACACCCCATAAGATTCGAAACGCCCCAAAAGATACGAAACACCCCAAAAGATTCGCAATGACCCAAAAGATTCGAAACCCGTCAAAATAATCTATTAAATGGAATGCACATACCAGTAAATTAAATAATATCCTCCTGATTGTTTTTCCTGGGCTCCTGATTTTATCAAGTAATGTTGGTGTTTGTGATTATAATTTAAGTATTAATGGCAGAAGTCGACGTGATTGGGATAGCACCTTTCATTCCCGCTAATTTGAACGAAGAACAAGCTATACGACACTATTTTCATTCGGGTTTTGAACACAATGTATTCCTCCAGTTCTTATCAAGCTATCATGGTATACCAATGTCTTCCAGAACTATCTGTTATCGTTTGAAGCAATTTGAGTTGAGCAGAAGACATGTACCTGAGGAAATAGACGAAGAAAGGGTTGCTCACTTGATCAGAAAAGAACTAAATGGTGACGGGTGCCTATTAGGATATCGTGCATTGTGGCGGCTTATTAGAAAAAATATCAAGTTAAAGTGCCGCGAAGAGTAGTACAAAGACTGCTTCGTGAAATAGATGAACGTAGATCACACCGTTTTAAGCATTAAAGAGAATATAACAACCCTGGTCCAAACTTCTCCTGGCACGCAGATGGTTACGACAAACTAAAACCACATGGATTCCCAATACATGGGTGTACAGACGGTTTTAGTCGTCGCGTTCTATGGCTGGCAGTTTGCAAGAGCAACAATGATCCAAAAAATAATTTCTAAATACTTCCTCCGTTGCATCCAACAGAACCAGGGTTATCCAACAATGGTACGAACCGATAGAGGCACTGAAAACAGGTTAATGGCAACAATTTTAATGCAGTGCTTCTTACGTAGATCTCATAGTGATGATCATGCAAGTTTAAAAGCCCATGCATATTGGCCATACCCTTCTAATCAGAGAATAGAAGCATGATGGACCCATTTACGTAAATCTTGGACAACATGGTGGATGAATTTTTTTCACAAATGGTAGAAAGAGGGGAATTGGATACAAGTGATGATTTACAGAAAAGTTGTTTGTGGTTCTGCTTCAACAAACTATTACAACAAGGTCTAGATCAGGTACGTACAAGCAAGATCCCGTTACAACACGCAAGCTGGTGTTCCAGACTAAATGTTCTTTTTACCAGAATCTATCGGAGCACGCAATTGCAAGTCTTACTGACAATGAGGATATTAATGCCATGCAAGCACACGTTGACTACCAATCACAAGACAACTATGATATATATTTTGAAGAAATTTGTCAGATTTGAGCCTGCCAGATAGATCCCAATGGACTTGCAGATGAGGCAAAACAATACTTTCACCGTTTAATAGATATTGCACGTCAATAAACAATAGATCGTATGCACAATGACATTCCTTTATGGTACGTTACTACTGCTAACAGGTGCGGACTGGCCGGTCGGGCTCACCGGGCAAATGTCCGGTGGGCCCCTTGTTGTAAGGCAGTTTTGGGCTCCTTCAAATTGGCTTAATTTAAATGTCATTTAAATAAATGGCTAGAAGCTCCATATCATAAGCATGCATGAAAAGCAGGAAGCACGCTTCAACCACTTTTCTCGCCCGACTAAGGGCCTCTGCGATCTTTTCTCGCTAGTATTTTTTCTTTTATATATATACAAAAAGATATTAAGGGATGGCTTTGGGGGCGCCAAAACGCAAAACGGGATAAGTGGGCGTTTTCAGCTGCAGAGAAACGTGATTAACTCGAAGATATTCTCGGGCCAGTGTGCAAATTTGCAATTTAAAGCAATATAAGTTAGTTATATGCTGAAAAATTGATGGGGCGACACTGCACGTTAGTATCTTATATGGCCCGCGCAATCCTCTGCCTAAAATTTAGCTTTGAAATCATGGCAACTGGACAACTTTTCAATTACAACACCACTCTCCAAATGCCTTCAAACGTGAGGCTTAAATCTTCTTCAAGCATCGAGAATGTTTCAATCTGCTATTTTCAATCTGAGATTTTCCAACTGTCCTGAATATTGTCACATGCAATTCGCAAAGAAAGCCAAGAGCAAATGGGTTTGCTTTGATACCAATGTTGCAATAGAAGAAAGTCTACTATCCAAAGCGACAAAAAGAATTCGAAAAAGGAAATTACATTTCGGTGGAAAGGATGACACTGTCAATAGAGCGATGGATGCATGCTCACGAAGACTATCAAGTGAATGTTTACAATGTCGTAATGGATCAAATTGTAACAAGCACCAATAGCTAGTATATTTGAGAACCACAGGGACTTTTCCAAGATTTTTCCAGTTTGGACCCTTGCCAATTTGATGAATGCAGAAGACAGAGGCTGCTTCAAAATGCATCAGAGAGTCTTTGTGAAAAGATTGGAAATCATGCATGTTGAACCAATTCATGCAGTTGTATGCAGAAACAAGTCTTACAGGTCATGTTTCAGCTGCGATTTCAAACGCTTTTATGAATATGGTCTCAACTTATCTACGTATTCCGAACTATATGCAGCTTATCAGCATTTAGTACCGCTTAGTGTAACGCAAGTCGACTGCGAAAGACGTTTCTTGATGCTTAAATTTATATTAAGAAACAACCCTGGGCAGGAAAGAAACAACCTTGGGAGGCACTTATGCTGACGTACATGCATAAACAGATGATCAATGACATATCAAATGAACAGATCATCAACCAGTTTGCCAACAGTTCCTTAGCACCAAGACGCCTCCTATCGCCATGAAGAAGAGCAGACAATAATTTCCTTTCTCTATTTTGAAAAAGGTCTTATATCCGGAAGAACCAACTAGTCAAGGTGTATATAAGCATTACTAGGCGAAGCTAAAATCCTTGGTGAAACCAAGGGTGAGACCTTGATAATTTAGCTAATTCGTTCACGTCCTTTCTCAGCTTCAAATTCGGCAAAAGATCGAAATCTTTTTTGTCCCTCTCCAGAATTGGTTGAGATTGAACTCTAACTCGAAGAACATCCCGCGTTGCAATCAGTATTTTTCACTTGTTTTGGGGTGTCGATACGAGTGCACTTGCCACAATAAGGACAATAGAAGAATGTACTCAATATTTCTGTATTGCAATTATTGCACTTCATTCGCAAACTTTATTATAGTAATAATATTAATATTACCAATTTTTTTTGTTCAACAAGACTTGTATTACAAATATTTGAAAATGTATAGAATCATGTTGAATCACGTGTTAAAACAACAACAAAAGCCTGGGAACGAGGTTGCAAAGAATTAATTTATAATTGTAGTGTCTCGAAATCTTTTGGAGTGTCTCGAAATCTTTTGGGGTGTTTCGAATCTTTTGGGTGTTTCGAATATTTTGGGGTGTTTCGAATCTTTTGGGGGGTGTTTCAGATTAACCGTTGCAATTTGATTTGCATATTGAGGTGTTTTGCGATCTCTGGGGTGCAATTATATTTTGGGGAGTGTTTTGCACATATGGCCCACCGTAAAATCGTCCATCTTTCTACACGTGGACCAAGAAGAAGAACCTTCAAGAACGTGGAGTGATGGATATATGGTGTACTAGTGGGTTACGCAGGATACGAAGGGATCAACCAATAACGCGCGGAGGCCTGGACGCGGGTCAATGATGCGTCCGACTATCAATGAGGAGTCCGACTGTCTACGGAAAAAAAATTTGCGTCGACGTCGTAGATCTTAAACTATCTATTAATGTCAATTCGTCAACCGAAGAATTAGCTCATAATAATTTGTTTACACAAAATCTAAGTACATGGCCCATTATTAGCTAAGCCTGATCACCTTGAAGTGTCCCTATATACAATGCAATTATATTTACAGAAAAGAAAGAAGCTCTCTTTAGTTTTGGGTTATTATGGATTGCATGGGTGCATGTATGTATGTATGTATGTATGTATGTATGTATGTATGTATGTATGTATGTATGTATGTATGGTTTACAATATGACGACTCATCGCAAATACACGCATGTGTGTTGATACAAACGGCCATAACTTTTCAAATACTGAAATCGTACAGGGTTTTTTGCATACATTTGCCAACAAAGGACTATATTTCCTTGAAGAATAGGCCCGAGCGATTCACAAGGTCCCAAAGTTTGAAAAATAGAATCTAAATCAAGGCCATTTCCATTCTTTGATTTATAGTGATAAGTAGGGTTCACATTGTGCTTAATTTTTCCTTTACAACTAATATTAGGTAAAAATTCCTCTTCTTCAAGAAAACTAGAAAGTTTCATGAGTGAAATGATATAAAATTCATTGCTAGTTGACGCGAATATAATATTTTACGGATCAATGAAAAATGCGTAATTTTCAATTTTCGAGACGTCCCAACATGCCTTGAAGAGGCAAAATATTTCGTTATTTGCAGCGCGACTGGAAAATCGTTTTCAACCAAACCTAGACTGTTTTGATTTTATGTTTGTTAAAGCCTTCCAGTTGCCAGAGTTTTAGCGAAGATCATGTTTGAAATGAAATTCGAGCGGGCGGTTTTTACAGAGACAGCCTTTTAAGGCGGTTTTTCAGTCCTCGCACGAAGCTCCTCGCAGCTCGCTGCGAGTTTTTGCATCTAATTAAAATGAACTGTTTAGCATTGTGATTGGATGAAAGTGTTCATGCATCACTCGCAGCGAGCTGCAAGGAGCTTCGTGCGAGGACTGGAAAACCGCCTTTACACCAAAATTTAATTGTTTTGAAGCTAGGGGAATTTCTCAGTGCATTGGCGAATGGAGAAAGCTACATCTGACCCAGAAATGTTATATATGGTCAATGGTTATACCATTGAATTAATAGAGGGACCCCTCCTCATAATAATCAGTCAAAATATGAATTTAGTTCGTTCCATAAAGAGGTTACTGAGCTTGAAATATCTAAGCTTATTACTAAAAGCGTAATCGTGCCATCATGCCATGAAAAGGGAGAGGTTATATTACCAATTTTTGTGTGCCTCAAAAAAGATGGCATCATCGCATGATTTTAAACTGAAAGGGTCTTAACACTTATGTGAAATATCATCATTTCAAAATGGATACCTTGTAGTCAGTCATTAAATTAATGACACCAAACTGCTTTATGGCATCTGTAGACCTAAAAGATGCCTACTACTCAGTACCAGTATCACTATCGGACAATTATACCAATACACATGACTTCCCAATGGCCTTTCTAGCTGTCCTCGAAAGTTTGCAAAGCTACTTAAACCTGTTTATACAGTTTTGCGGAAAAGAGGTCATGTTTCTTCAGGCTGTATCGATAATGCCTCCTTGCAAGGTGATACATATGATGATTGTGCCTGTGATGTTGTGGATACAGTTGACCTGTTCTCCACCCTAAGGTTGGTTATACACCCAAATAAATCTGTGTTTGAACCAACACAAATTTTAGAGTTTTGTGGATAGCATCACTCCCTACTGGCACTGCCTACAATGAGGTCAGTCATGGATCGCCAGAGATTGTGATAAATACAGATGCCTCTTTGTCAGGTTGGGAGGGGCGGGGGGAGTGTTGAATGATCTCACTTGTGGAGGTCACTGGTCTCTAGTAGAACAGACTTTTCATACAAATTATTTAGAATTGCTTGCTGTTCTCTATGTATTGCAATCCTTTCACTCCCATTTGGAGCATGAACATGTAAGGGCCCTTATTGATAATACCACAGCTGTAGCTTGTATTACACATATGGGTACTAGACACTCTGATTTATGCAATAAAATTACCAAAACCATTCGACGTCACCAGTGACAAAATAGAATTTAGATTAAACGAGACTTACCTGTAAGTTGAAGTTTGAGCATGATTCTATGAGTGTGAAAAAAATCTTAAAGATGTAACACATCCATGCAATAAACTCGTTACTATTATAAAACCAATCAATATGATCTTGGAACTGGTAGGTTCACATCATATACCTTCTCCCATACCAAGAGACATGAACTTTACCCACCGGGCACACGACGTTGTTTCAACGTTGAAATTTGGTAGAAAAAAGGCAGCGACGTCGATAACCTAATATCTACGTTGCTCTGACGTTGTTTTACAAACATTGGTTCAACAGCAGCCAACAGACGTTGAATTAACGTTCATTCATGGTTAAATGTACGACGTCGATTTGTGAACCAATCTCAACGTTGTTTTAACGTGGATTCAACGTTGAATTATGGTTGACGAGATTGGCAACCTAATTTCAACGTTGTTTCAACGTCGAAACAGTAACGTCGATCCAATTTGCATAGTCAACCCTTTTTCAACGTCTATCCAACGTCTGGAAGGTCATTTCCAACGTTGATTCAACGTTGGATAAACGTCATTTTGCCCGCTGGGTAATTGATTCCTAGAACTAGGGGTATGTTTTAAATAAATTGACACAAATTATAACCATCTTACTGATAAATTTTACTGATTTTAGCTATTGTATATTCAATTTTATTCATGCATAAGTAATTTGATATTGTTGCATATAGATTTTAAAGATTTCCGTAAATTCATGGCATTTTTAGCTTAAGATGGATATTAAAGCTCATTAATATTCAATGGTTTATTCTTTGCGCATTTTTGCATTTTGCGGACAAACATGACGCATATGAAAAATCGCGAGAAAACCACGCTTTCCTGTCCCCGCAACACTGGTGTGCGAATATTCGTGGGGTTATACTTCCGGCCGCACGACTCGTTTTCATCATGACCCTATCGTATAAACACGCATAATACAATCGCGACTATACTAAGTCAGGCTAGCTGATCTATGACAATCATATAGTACAGCTATTTCCGTCACGATGTCAATAAAGATTAACTAGTAAATTACTAGGGTAGGCCCAACATACCTTTGAACTGTCTACTTTGAAAACTACGGGTCTCGCTTCAATATTGGTTATTAACAGCGTGTTTTCCAGCTAGCGCTTAGGCCTAGGGTTATATCACAAATTAATCGTTTACCAATATACAGGAGTCATAATTTGCATGTAAATTTTCGCGAAGACTAAATTATTCAGGAACTTGATCGTTCAACGTTAACTAATAATGCTACGTCTGTGAACAACGATGTAATGTTTTGAACAATATAACATTACATTTTACGCTATCAACATTTCAAGAGAGGTTGAGGCATCTTGATAACCAGCCAGCTAAGGGAAGGTTCATTATTTATGGGTGGGGGGGGGAGGTAAAATAATGGGAGTGTCAACTATTTTCTTTGTGCGTAAAAGGGGGGGGGGGTTAAACATTTTTAAGTAGTGTTTCGGGAGTCAATAAAATTTCATAGCATTGACATAAAGAAGATGATATAGAAAAAAATGATGCAATTACTGTTGTTACAGTTGACACCAACATCTTTCAAGTGGTCACAGTAGTTGTGTTTATTCCACCCACGGTGACTGCAATCCCAAATGAATGATTCGTTACCAGTGCACTTCACATTGTCAAGCAATATTGAACCAGTTCCACGACCATAGTAAGCTCCCTTCCTTGTCCCGCTCACTCCAGTGAAACCCAACTGACGACAGACAACGCGACTGTCAGTATCATCCCATCCGCGATCACAGACAGTTCCCCAGCCAAAGGAAGGATGAAATATTTCAACTCTCCCTGTTTCGTTGCTCTTTGTATTTGCCAATCTAATCTGTAGATCCGACTTAGCTATAACAAAAGAGATGAAATGTAATTACAACAGGTAATATTTATGTTCACAACACCGTGTGACATCGCGAAATAAGAATTCATTAGTAATTATTGCAGGATCGTAGCAAAATTAATGATGACGAAATAATTAACTAAAAAGAGATTAACTTTAGTCATTGTGCAAATCTGAGAACTTAACTCACATCCTAACTACTTAACACAAAAGAACAAAGAAATATCACAAAATCCGAATTCAGTTATTGTTTTGTTAGAGACCACATTCTTAAAATCCGTTGATAAATTAGGATTAAATTCTACCGCAAAAAATAACGTTTAGAGTGTAGAGTATACAAGGCATTTTGAATACCATGGACTGCTGGGGCATTTGCCCCACTGGGCCCCTTCCTCTGCCTCACCACTAAAGAAAAAAATGGCCTATAGCCTGGCATCCCGGGCCCTTGGACCTGCATTGAGTAGCTAATGAGTTTCACATTGAAAAAAATTAAAAAACAAAATTTGTTGGTATTGAGCATTCTTAAACTTATGTTGTGTTTGAATGCTTAGCATGCAATTTATTACAAATTTCACCATTAAAGCTTTGTTTTGAGAAGCGGAGATTTATTTTAAATTTTGTTCTGAGAATGCAAGAAATGCTATTTCAGAAACCAAAATTTTAAAAATTTCCTGGGAGGGGGCGGGAGGGCGTTATGCTTCCAGATCCCCTAGCTAGCTGATGCCAGCGGTTCTAGGCTCACATCTTTGGCGATCACATACTATTTGGAGGAGAGGACAAGAAAAATGGGCTATTTTGGCAGTTTTGCCCACCACTGAAAAATCCTTAGAAAATGCACTGAGAGTGTAAAAACAAATTTAAAATTATAACAAGAATTAACAACGACACATTTGAATTGTGATTTACATACAAAATCTTAAAAATAATAGTGTTTTTTCACAATCCCTTTCAGAAAACTTTACAGTTCATTCATGTTATTTGTTCTGGATTAAATTTTTGCTTTCTCTTGCAAAAGCAACCGCTGGTTTCAAAATTTCATACCGCAGGCTCAATACACAGAGTAACAAGAACAGGGTTTAGCAAACAAGACTTTAATTGATCTGAAAGAATACTGCCTACAAATTGCTCTTTTTATTCGTTGCATTCGTATTCACTCCGAGTGAAAATGGGCCGACGTCGCTCTTGCAGTTACCACAAAGGGGATTCTAAATCTTAAAACGATTTTCCTACTTAAGCTTTTTCAGCAACCGCGCACACGTTCCCAGGCCATCCCAACATGATTTTCGCCTAAATTGCTCCTGTGTGACTTAACCTCCTCAGTCCTCCACAGTCACGGGCAAGACTTGGGTATATAAACTGCCCAGCTGTTCAGTCTCTGCGGGTCACACAATGATTTTTCGGAAACTTCGTGATTACAGTGTGATATGATCTGCTTTGTGTTGGTTCCCGGACTATTTAAAAAGTAGAAGTCAGAGTTTTTTTGTAGATGGTGCTGCTTCAACATTGAACCACTCACATCTGGAGTGCCGCAAAAAGCATCCTGCTCTTCTTGTTTGTGATTTTCATTAACCATCTACCGTACATTGTGGAAAATATAACTGAAACAACGCTGCATGCCAACGACGCTAAACTACATAAAACAATTATCCTAGCTTTACTGAAAACTCCTATCACTCACGATTGTACCACGAGGCCGGAAACCTGACTGGTGTTGACAGTGAAAAAAATCTTTGTAACCTCACTTCCAGGAGACTTGTGAAATTACAGTCAATTACACAACAGAGGTATGGCCGTGCCCAAATATAATATCCAGTTATCAAGACGAGTAGAAAGAGTGCCAAGGCAAGCAACGAGATGAATCATGCTGAGCAGGAGAGCTTTGGCCTAAACAGCGGTGCTTGCCTAAGAAAGTTGCTTCAGTTGACATTTGACAGAGAAATTAAAAACTTGTCTGCTGAAACACACATCGGAACATTTTTTTAGCAAGCAGTGTCCAACTAGTAAATTGCATGCACTCATTGTATTACAACCGCAATATTAAGATCTAGACTACAATTTGCTAAAAACAATGGTCTCACAAACCTGAAATTATTCACAAACCTGAAATTATTAAAACTTACTTAAGGTAGATATTTTGAAATATAGGCTAGTTACGTTATTGAATGGTTTGCACGTGGTGTTTGGGCCGCGATTGTTCCTGCCATGGATCTTAAATTTTAGTAATATGCTAACTAGATATATGGCTTGATTATAATGAAATCCATCGATATTCTAATTAACAACAACAACAATTAACAACATTTATAGTTTTGTTTGTGAAAACACCACGTAAATTTATTACTGCAAAGCTTTCGATCCGTAAGCCCGGATCTTCCTCAGTGTTAATAATAACAAACTTGAAATCATTAAAACTTACTTAACGTAGATACTTGGAAGTATAGTTACGTTATTGAATGGTTTGCACGTAGTGTTTGGGCCGCGATTGTCCCTGCCATGGATCTTAAATTTTAGTAATAACTAGATGGCTTGATTATAATGAAATCCGTTAGGTTCAGGAAGGTGTATTATATCGATATTCTAATTAACAACAACAATTAACAACATTAATAATTTTGTTTGTGAAAACACCACGTACATTTATTACTGCAAAGCTTAGTCGATCCATAAGCCCGGATCTTCATCAGTGTTAATAATAACACGTAGATACTTGGAAATATAGTTACGTTATTGAATGGTTTGCACGTAGTGTTTGGGCCGCGATTGTTCCTGCCATGGATCTTAAATTTTAGTAATAACTAGATGGCTTGATTATAATGAAATCCGTTAGGTTCAGGAAGGTGTATTATATCGATATTCTAATTAACAACAACAATTAACAACATTAATAATTTTGTTTGTGAAAACACCACGTACATTTATTACTGCAAAGCTTAGTCGATCCATAAGCCCGGATCTTCATCAGTGTTAATAATAACACGTAGATACTTGGAAATATAGTTACGTTATTGAATGGTTTGCACGTAGTGTTTGGGCCGCGATTGTTCCTGCCATGGATCTTAAATTTTAGTAATAACTAGATGGCTTGATTATAATGAAATCCGTTAGGTTCAGGAAGGTGTATTATATCGATATTCTAATTAACAACAACAATTAACAACATTAATAATTTTGTTTGTGAAAACACCACGTACATTTATTACTGCAAAGCTTAGTCGATCCATAAGCCCGGATCTTCATCAGTGTTAATAATAACACGTAGATACTTGGAAATATAGTTACGTTATTGAATGGTTTGCACGTAGTGTTTGGGCCGCGATTGTTCCTGCCATGGATCTTAAATTTTAGTAATAACTAGATGGCTTGATTATAATGAAATCCGTTAGGTTCAGGAAGGTGTATTATATCGCTATTCTAATTAACAGCAACAATTAACAACAATTAATAGTTTTGTTTGTGGACACCTTCCTGAACCTAACGGATTTCATTATAATCAAGCCATCTAGTTACTACTAAAATTTAAGATCCATGGCAGGAACAATCGCGGCCCAAACACCACGTTGTTCGTAGGTTAATTGACGCCTAATACAGAGCCTGAAATCATGAACATGACAAAATATACAAAATCATAAAGCTGTGCTAAGTTTATAGCCGTTTGCGAAGTATTAAATCTAAGTTAGGTTTAGCTAAACAAAACAATGACCCTTGACACGTAGAGTGGCAAAAGCTATTGATGTACGTTTAATTGTGCATTGTTTCCCTTAGTGGAGACACAAAACAATAAAATCTATATTTGAGACTGTGCGAAAGTTACCGCGTCTGCTTAATAGAGATGGTCATTTAATGAAGGTCACGTCAACAGCATTTCCCAATCGGGAATTTGCCAACTGACTTCTTGAGAAAGGTTGACCGCTCAATGGAGTGTCGCTCAATGCATGTTTGACTACATATTCCAAGTGAACAAATATCGCAATCTTACACCCCACCTTAGTGTACAAGCGAGATAATTCACTTACTATATCAGAAAGAAGCGATGAGGAAACGGCTAAGAAAATTGGGCAGAGCAGTGAGAAAGATTGCTAAAAGTGTGCCAGGTTGAAAAATGCTTAATTAAAAGGAAGGAACGTGAGTATTTTAGAAAACTATAGTTAATGCAATAAAAAATGGAATTTCCTAAAGAATTCTAGAAGTTTTTCAGATCCAAATTAGTTACGTCATCATTACCTGGCACCATGGCACTAGCTGACTCGATGTTAACTTAACCACCTCAATTGCTGAGGTTTTAATCAAATGCTTTGCAACTGTGCTTTTATTTTCCCGCTGCAATCCACGTTCTCCATCACCTATACTTAGGGACTGACAATTAGAAAAGTGATGGGGGCGGGGGTGGTCCATTTCCAACGTATACGATTATTTTTTCAAAATTTTTTGCTGTGTCGATTTTTATAATCCCGTGCTCGAATTTTATTTTTTTTTCAAAAATTGCTGGCCGCGGCGGGGGGGGGGGGGGGGGGGGTCAAAAAAATTTTTT